AAAAAAAAATACTTGGAATCAATTAGAGGTGAAAAACCTCTACAATGCAAACTACAGAATGTTAAACAAAGAAATTAATGAAGACCTTAGAAAATGGCAAGTTCTACCTTTTTCTTGCATAGACAGAATTTATATTGTAAAAAGACCATACTACCAAAAGCACTATACAGATTCAAAGCAATCTCAGTGAAAATCCCAATGACTTTCCTCATAGAAGTAGAAAAAGCAATCATGAAATTCATCTGGAAAAATCAGAAACCCAGAATAGCTAAATCAATCCCTAGCAAGAAGAGTGAAGCTGGTGGCATTACTATTCCAGACCTTAAATTATACTATAGAGCAATAGTAACAAAAATGACATGATATCAGCACCGGAATATACTGTAGACCAATGGTACAGAATAGAAGACACAGAGRCTAACCCACATAACCACAGTTAYCTTATATTAGWCAAAGGCACCAAAAACATATATTGGAGAAAAGATAGCCTCTTAAACAAAAGGTGGTTAGAAAACTGGGAATCCACATGTAACAAAATGCAATTAAACCTCTAATTCTCATCATGCACAAAACTCAACTCAAAGTGGATCAAGAACCTAGGAATTAAACAAGAGACTCTGTGCCTAATGGAAGAAAAAGTAGGCCCAAATCTCCATCATGTCAGATTAGGCCCAAACTTCCTTAATAAGACTCCTATAGTGCAAGAATTAAAACCAAAAATCAATAAATGCGATTGATTCAAACTAAATAGTTTCTTCTCAGTAAAAGAAACAATCAGTGAGGTGAATAAAGAGCCTACAGAAGAGAAACAAATCTTTACCACAAGCATATCAGATACAGCACTAATCTCTAGGATATATAAATCACTCAAAAACCTTAACACAAATAACCCAATCAATAAATGGGCCAAGGAACTGAACAGACACTTCTCAGAAGAAATATATATGTGTGTGTGTGTGTGTGTGTGTGTGTGTGTGTGTGTGTGTATATATATATATATATATATATATGTTTAGCATCTCTAGCAATTAGAGAAATGCAAATCAAATCTACTCTAAGATTTCATCTCACTCCAGTCAGAATAGCAGTTATCAAGAATGCAAACAACAATAAGTGTTGGCGAGGATGTAGGGAAAAAGTTACACTCATACATTGCTGGTGGGACTGCAAATTGGCTCAGTCAATATGGAAAGCAGTATGAAGAATCTTTAGAAAACTTGAAATGGAACCACCATTTGACCCAGCTATCCTACTCCTCAGTTTATATCCAAAGGTCTTAAAAACAGCATACTACAGAGATTCAGTCACATCAATGTTTATAGCAACACATTTCACAATAACTAAATTGTGGAACCAACCCATATGCCCTTCAATAGATGAATGGATAGAAAAACTTTGGCATATATACACAATGGAATATTACTCAGAATTAAAAGAGAATAAAATCATGGGGCTGGGGATGTGGCTCAAGCGGTAGCGCGCTCGCCTGGCATGTGTACGGCCGGGTTCGATCCTCAGCACCACATACCAACAAAGATGTTGTGTCCGCCGAAAAACTAAAAAAAAATAAATAAATATTAAAAACTCTCTCTCTCTCTCTCTCTCTCTCTCTCTCTCTCTCTCTCTCTCTTTAAAAAAAATGGAAAAAAAAGAATAAAATCATGGCATTTGCAGGTAAATCGATGGAGTTGGAGAATATAATGCTAAGTGAAGTTAGCCAATCCCTCCAAAAACCAAATACTGAACGTTTTCTCTGATATAATGTTGCTGATTTATAATGCAGGTAACTGGGGAGCTTGGGGGGAATAGATAAACTCTAGATAGGGCAAAAGGATCAGAGGGAAACGGAGGGGCATGGGGGTAGAAAATATGGTGGAATGAGATAGACATCATTACCCTAAGCACATGTATGAAGAGATGAATGGTGTGACTATACTTTTTATACAACCAGAGATATGAAAAATTGTGCTCTACATATGTRATATGAAGTGTAATGGATTCTGCTGTCATTTATGACTAATTAGAATAAAATAAATAAAAGACAGAGTCAATTACAACTAATACTTTCTGTTTCTTACCAGAGCAACAAAGCACTAATTACTGAAAATCCTGCACATAAAAAATGGTGCACAATTTTTAAAGGTAACTATTTTATTTTCTGGGGGGTCCTGGGGATTGAACTCAGGGGTACTCAGCCACAGAGCTATATCACCAGCCCTATTTTGTATTTTATTTAGAGACAGATTCTTACTGAGTTGCTTAGTGCTTCAATTTGATGGAGGCTGGCTTTGAACTCAAGATCCTACTGCCTCAGCCTTGTGAGGCACTGGGGTCACAGGCCTGCACCACCACACTCAGCTCAATTTGATGTTCTTAAGTAACTAGGACTGCTCGTCTGATCTATATAAACATCCTACTAAACAATCTTACCCTGGGGTTTTATGTATGTGGAACACTTCTCAAGCTTCTCTGTTTCTGCTTTGGGTGTTGATCTGTCTCCTTCCTGTCACCAATAGGGGCCAATGGGGGTAAAATTATATTTTGCTAAATAATTTAGATACAGTCATTAAATTATGCAAGTGAGTCCAAATAACTTGACTTGTTTTTTGTGTAGAAGCGTCCAATAATGTCCTAGGTGAAGTATCAGCATCATGTTCTGTTTTTACTTGTGAATCTTTGAAAACCCGTCCCAGGTACTTTCACTCATTCCATTTCTCTGCTAATACCTTCAATGATGGTGCCACTCAGGGAAATGAAGCACAGGATGTCACTTGGTTTGGGGTAGAAAACTTCTCAGGGAAGCAAGGAATCCAACAGGATATGCACAGCTCACTGCCAGTCCTTCACATGACAGAGGTCAGTGTCCTGCCCCTTCCACGTGAGATCCTCTCCACCTTCAGGGACCGTGGATTAGAAAGGGCCTCTCCAAACACTCTGGATTCCCTTAAGACAGGTTATGAGAAAACTTTTAATTGTTTTTGGTAAGTGTCCCTTGGGAAGACAGTTTTCAGCAGTGTCCTCAAATTCCCAAACCTGTATGTCCATTGCTACTAGAGGCACAGTGACGACAGCAGGTCTGAGGGGAGGGGAGGTCACAGAGTCTGAGACCCATATCTCAAAAGCTGGCAGCCTCCTTGCAATAGGTGTCTTATTCACAGAGGCCTCTGCACTGGGGTCGCCATCCTGGTAAAGAGAAAGCCTGGTGAGTAAGGCAATAGCAGCGTGAGAGCAGCATCTGGGAGAAAAGACCATCTCAGGAGTCTGGGTAAGTGATCACGTAAAAACAGGGAACTCTGGATTGAATCCAATAGCATTTCAGAGCCACCGAGAAAGTAGAACAGTTGCTGAAGAACGGACTGAAGACAGAAAATATAAATGGGTTTCCAACCTCTGCCCCAGTTCCTTACTTATGGCTCCTAGTTTAATTAATGTGATCCTCACTGACAGTGATTGGTGTGGTTTAATCCAAGTAAAACTGAAAACTGATTCTCAAGGTGCAGAAGGAGATTGTTTTAAAATCAGTCTCCTGTTCAGCCTCCATGATAAGAATCCTAGCCTGGATTCTAGAGATGGACCAAGAGTCTCTCCGAGCCTGTTGTATGGAGTAGAAAGTTCACAGGAATCCTCTAGCCCTGTGTGGGAAGTGATTGATGGTGATACTTGAGCTGAATGTTTTCTGTGACTCTGGGCATGGTGCAGTTAATGGGGACAGTCCTGAAACCATCAGTGCTCTATGGTAATGGTGAGGCTACTTACATCTTAGCCTGGTAAGCAACGTGTATGAAAAAGGAGGTAGATTATCATGGGTATTCCAGCATATCTGCTAGATGCATATCACCCTGCTTCTGTTTAAAAACATTCTCTGCATGGTATCTAATGCACCATGGTTTAGGGTATGACCATGGAGCAGACCTGCATTTTGGTGGGGGCACGTGGAAGATCTCTTCACCTTCTGCTCAGTTTTACATGAACATAAAACTGTGCTAAAGAATTAATCTACTAACTTGATCTCTAAATTGAAAATTAATTATTGCAGTTTTTTAAAAGCACAAGGCTTCAGTCTGTACCTTGGCCACATTGCATAGTGTAATATCACTCACCAATCTTGCTCTTTGCTAACAGTTTTGCTTAACTCGGGTGTTAACTAACCCATGCATGTATCATCTGAAATCAGTAACATTTTGTTTCTACTCTACACTCTCTTATCGGGTATTGGTGCCTTGTGTCCTGAAGCTTGGCATGGCATGAGGTTGTCACAAATTCCTGTGATAGGTGCTGTTGCTCTTTATTCCTAACACACAGCCATGTGACTCACGGGATAGCCGCCCTGATGGAGAGTCAGTTCTGCCTATTGCACGTAAATCACCACATGGCAGCTGTCTGCAGTGCTTTAGTTCCCTCAGTGCATCTGCAGATATTAAAATATCTAAGTATTTCCTAATAATAGATATTGGTGTATAGTATTCTATAGTCATTGTAAGCATCAAAACATATTACAATAAGAAATTATAAAATACTATTAATTTAGCATATAACAGGAATGTTGAAAAACAAACGTAAATATAGAACTGGATTGTTTGAAGAACAGAGATAAAAAGCCTTTAGGATGGTGGTTCACTGAAATCTGTTTCCACTCAGCCAATTGCAAGAGCTTTCCATGTCCCTAATCAGAATTTGAATTTGGATAGACACTTAACCACTGAAGGTTCAAGTTCCTGGTCATTATAGAAAGTCATCTCAGTACCTAGCCTAGGTTCTGAAGATCCATGAAGTCTCACCACATGTGTTCCCTACATAGCAGCAAAGGGTGCATCATTCATGTTTTAAAAATGTATAGACATCATTTAGAAATAGCCTAGTAAACGAAAAACTTTAAGTAGATTTTCACAGTGGAACCTCAGGAGAGTGGGCAATGATGGGTTTTGGTTGAAAGGACATGTGCAGCCCAGGCTTCCTCTTTCTGCAGGACCCTCTAGATGGGACAGCAGGGACCTGGCAGGATGGCAGCCAGTGATGTGGCTGTAGGCATCATCTTCCTGGCACAGACTGTGGTTGGAGCTCTGGGCAATTCCTCTCTTCTCCTCCATTACCTGGTCCTTTACTTCCCTGGGTGCAGGGTAAGACCCACAGACTTGATGATTCAGCACTTGATTGTGGGCAACTTGTTAACCCTCCTGTGTAAAGGAGTTCCCCAGACAATGGCAGCTTTCATTTTCAAATTTTCCCTTGGCAATATTAAATGCAAACTGCTTTTCTATGTTTTAAGGGTGGGCAGGGGTGTGTCCATTGTAACCATGTGTCTCCTGAGTGTCTTCCAGGTCATCACCATCAGCCCGAAGGACTCTAGATGGGCAGGACTTAAAGTGAAAGCTCCCAGGTACATTGGATCCTCCATACACCTGAGCTGGATTCTGTATATGCTTATAAATATCATTGTTCTCATATACATGACTGGAAAATGGAGCAACACAACAATAACAGACCTAAAAGATTTTGGATACTGTTCTGCCATTCGTCCTGACATAACCATAGACTCACTCTTTGCAGCATTGGTGGCATTCCCTGATGTCCTGTGTGTGGGGCTCATGCTCTGGGCCAGCAGCTCCATGGTGCTCATCCTGCACAGGCACAAGAAGAGAATGCAGCATGTTCATAAGGCCAGCGCCCCCAGGTCCTCCCCCGAGTCCAAGGCCACCAAAACCATTCTCCTCCTGGTGAGCACCTTTGTCTCTTTGTACACACTTTCCTGCATCTTTCAGGTTTGTGTGACTCTTTTGTCTAATCCCAGCAGGTTCTTGGTGAACACAGCTGCAATAGTTGCTGGGTGTTTTCCAGCTGTCAGCCCCTTCCTGCTCATGAGCAGATACTCCAGTGCATCCCGGCTCTGTTTTGCCTGTATAAAATTTTTTTAAATCCCAAATTTATGAACATGTAAACTGTAAAGTTTTRCACAGTTTATGCTTTTTTACTCATTCTTTTTTAAAAATTTGTTTTTAGTTGTAGATGGACACGATACCTTTATTTAATTCATGCTGGGGATCGAACCTAGGGATTCACACATGCGAGGCAAGCGCTCTACCACTGAGCCATAACCCCAGCCCTTGTTTACTCATTCTTATCACAAAAATATAAGCACTGGATTAGTTGTATCACCTGAGTGGTAGTTTACAACCTACATTTATAAATGTGTGCATGTAAGTTTGTAGGTGCATTTGTGAATATGAGCATGTGCACATGCATTTCACTTTGTTATTTTCCATCAAGTGATAATTCCGTAAAATTTTATGTGTCAAATGTGAATTTTATATTTAATAACTATGGAACTATTTCAAAGTGATTTCACATAAAATCAACTTTCACATTTTCTTGCTATTCTGCTGGCTTATTCTGTTAGAAGATGTTGAATGAATTTTTCATTTGTCTACTATGAATCTATATGTATGACATGAGGTACTGTTTTTTTATCATTACAAATGGTTTTTAAATTACTGTTATGTACCTTCAAAACGGTCTTATGTACAATTCAGGCATAAATTGCTCAATTATATTTTATAAAGAACACACACTATGCCTTGCATTCAGCCACACATCGAAGTACAATCCTATCAATTTTTTTGTCAAATTTCTTTGTCTTCATGCCTGTACCATAATTATGTTCAAGAGGGACAAGCATGTGACATCTAGATAGATAGATCACTTTCATTTTTTTTTTTACTTTCTATAAAGGGAACTGTTCAGCATGAACGCTTTTATATTTGACTTTGAAAATTTGATACGCATTAAAGTTTGTATTTTCACATGTGGTCAGTGATAGAATTCTACTGCAGGAATATCAAATAATCTGTCCTTCCTCTCTTGACACGAGTGCTATGGTATGGATATGATTGGAATTTTTCCCCCAAGTTCCATGTGTGGGAATCCTTGCCCCCAGTGTGATAGTGTTGGAGATGGTGGAATCTTTGAGAAGTGAAGGCAAGGAGAAGAAGATTGGGAGGTCACCCTGGAGGAGATAAATGATGATCTCACGGAATATATCAGCTCCCACGAGAATGAGTTTTCTTACAGCAAGTGCAGCTGTCTCCATTGTCTTGCTCCTTGTCCTTCCCTGTGGTCTCTTCTGCAAGTGCTCCCACCATTGTGATTCCATCTGCTGCGAGGCCCTCACCAGGCCGAGTGGAGGCTGGCACAGTGTTCTCGACTCTCCAGAACTTCAGTGAAACAAATTTCTTTGTCAAATTACCCAGACTTAGGTTTTGGTTATTGCAACAGAAAAACATAAATATAATGTATCATGATGACAACTCTCATGCAGGTTCACAATGTGATTTGATGATAATTATATGAATTTATGTTGGTGTGTGTGTCATGCTGCATTCAGGGGTCAAGTTTTATACCTACTTGGCATTAGGATATATTGATAAAAGAGTCTACCAAACGTTTGTATGAATTTCCACCAAGTAGGTTCTCCTATTTTAGTAAATATCATTTGATATGTCCTTTTTTAGAGTTAATAATTTATATCTGTTAAACATAGTATGCTAATATAAAACCTATGAGAAGTTCTTCTTCATTTTCTTCAAAGACATCAATTCATACCTTGAGAATTTACACCAGCGAACTATCAGAATCAGCTTTTTATATGTGTTGATAGTGATTTAAGTCTTTTTAAAGAAGCAAACAATGAATTTCAATGTGTTCTGAAAATGTTGCATTAAATATTTTTTTCTGATTAGTCATAAGATATTCTGTATTTTAAAATGTCTGAGAAAATATTTTGAGAGTTTTTGCCATGAGTTATTCTAGCTGTTTGAGGAAATAAATATGCTTACTCTGATTTGAAGATTGACAAATATGCACACTGTATTCTAATATCCTGTGGTACCTTATAAATATGTACATTTTTTTAAAGAATCAGATAAAATAAATAAACTTAGCTGGGCAGAATGGTGTACACTTGTCATCTAAGTGGCCTGGGAGGCTGAGGTAGGAGGATCACAATTTCAAGGTCAGCCTCAACATAAGTAACTTTGCAACATCCTTACTCAAAATAAAAATAAGTGATGGGAAAGTAGCTCAGTGGTAAAGCACCACTGGAATCAATACCTGACACTGTTGCTGCTACTACTACTAATAATAATAATAAATTAATAAATTAATTTAAAATATTCATTTCTTTCTCACAGATTCATTGAGTGCTCACATACTTACCATTTTCAGTGTTTTCATACTTCTGATCTCTGACTGTCTCTTCAGCTGCCACTCTGTGCCTTCTGCATTAAGGGGCCAGGTAAATACACGAGGTCAACCAGATTATCTGAGCATCCCCTTTCTTGAGATCAGGCAATCCGTTGCCTTAGTACCATCTTTAAACCGCACGTAACCGATCATAACCTCAGGAGTGCCTACAGACCATTCCCCAGGTCGCCTTGGAACCACCTTTTCACAGTGCACGTCTTTCATTTGTAGTTCTCAGGATAACCGTAGAGTGTGCTGAGAAGGTAACCCGATAAGACAGGAAGGGACTAGATGGAACAGCACAGCCTCTGTTCTAATTTTCCCTGGAATCAGGACACCCTTTAAGGGTTTAATGAGTCATGTGATTCTAGGCCATAAAACCCAGGGAGGACCACTTCCTGGGGTCCTCCAGCTGTGGTGTAAGTGGAGCACGTTAAGATGAAACTAAGACCTCTGTGAAGGGCCTTCATGAGGGCTGTGGACAAGCTTGGAATGCATCCTAAGCTTCTGCTGCCCCTTGCTTATCTATCTGTAAGTAGTAAACCTGCTTCACTCTTCTTGCTAAGTATTGCTTTGGCTATTATGGGTCTCTCATTTTTCCAGATGAATTTCATGATTGCTTTTTCTATTTCTTTGAAGAATGTCATTGGGATTTTGATTGGAATTGCATTAAATCTGTATAGTGCTTTTGTTAGTGTGATCATTTTGGTAATATTAATTCTTCCTATCTAAGAACAGAGGAGATCTTTTCATCTTCTAAGGTATTCTTTAATTTCTTTCTTTAGCATTCTGTAGTTTTCACTGTAGAGGCCTTTTACCTCTTTTGTTAAGTTGATTCCCAAGTATTTTTTTTTTGAGGTTATTGTAAATGAAGTAGTTTTCCTAATTTCTCTTTCAGAGGGTTCCTCACTGATGTACAGATGTGCATTTGATTTATGACTGTTGACTTTATATACTGACACTTTGCTGAATTCATTTTTTAGTTTTATTTTTCTGGTAGAACCTTTCAGATCCTCTAAGTATAGAATCATGTCATCGGCAAACAGTGACAGTTTCTTTTCTTATTTGTATCCCTTTAATTTCTTTCTTCTGCCTGATTGCTCTGGCTACAGTTTCAAGACTGTGCTTAATAGAAGTGGTGAAAGAAGGCATCTCTGTTTTGTTTCAGTTTTTAAAGGGAATACTTTCAATCTTTCTCCATTTAGAATAATGTTGTCCTTTGGTTTAGCATAGATAGCTTTTGCAATGTTGAGATATGTTCCTATTATCCCTAGTTTTTCTAGTGTTTTGAACATGAAGTGGTGCTGAATTTTGTTGAATGTTTTTTTCTTACCTTTAAGTCTATTGATGTGATGAATTATATTTATTGATTTTTGTATGTTGAACCAATCATTCATTCCTGGGATGAACCTCAGTTGATCACTGTGCACTCTTTTTTATATGTTTTTGTATGCAATTGGCCGGTATTTTACTGAGAATTTTTGCATTTATGTTCATCATGGATATTGGTCTGAAGTTTTCTTTCCTTCATTTGTTTTTGTCTGGTTTTGATATCAAGATGATGCTAGCTTTATAGAATGAGTTTGGAATGGTTCCCTCCTTTTCTATTTCATGGAATAATTTGAGAAGTATTGGTATTAGTTCTTCTTGGAAGGTCTTTTAGAACTCTGCTGAGAATTTGTCTGATTTTGGACTTTTCTTTGTTGATAGACTTTAGATGCTGTCTTCTATTTCATTGTTTAAAATCAATGTGTTTAAATTGTATATGTCCTCCTGATTCTGTTTGGGTAGAACATATGTCTCTAGAAATTTGTCAATATCATCAAGATTTATTTCTTATTGGAGTATAAGTTTTCAAAATAATTTCTAATTGTCTTATGTATTTTAATAATGTCTGTTGTGATATTTTCTTTTTCATAATGTATGTTAATAATTTGAGTTTTCTTCCTTCTTCATTAGTGTGGCTAAGAGTTTATCAATTTTTATTTTTTTTTTTAGAGAAATTTTTGCTTTGTCAATTTTTAAATTTTTTTCAATTTTATTGATTTCAGCTCTGATTTTAATTATTTACTGTCTTCTACTACTTTTGGTGTTAATTTGTTTTTATTTTTCCAGGGCTTTGAGATGTAGTGTTGTCATTTATTTGTTAACTTTTTTTATTCTTTTGATGAATGAGCTCAATGCAATAAATTTTCCTCTTACCACTGCCTTCATAGTGACCCAGAGATTTTGATATGCTGTATTGGTGTTCTCATTTACCTCTAGGATATTTTATCTCCATTCTGATGTCTTCTGCTATCCATTGCTCATTCAGTATCATGTTATTTAGTCTCCAAGTGTTGGAGTAGCTTCTATTTTTACTTTATCATTGATTCCTAGTTTCATTCTATGATCTGATAGAATACAGGTAGTATCTTTATTTTTTCATTTTATTCTTTTTTTGTATTTTCTTAGAGTTGCTTTGTGGATAATATATGGTCTATTTTAGAGAAGGAGCCATGTGCTGTTGAGAAGAAAGTGTGTTCCCTCATTGATAGATGAAATGAACTAAGTATGTCTGTTAAATCTAAATTATTGATTGCATTACTGAGTTATATATTTTGTTGTTGTTGTTGTTGTTGTTGTTTTGTTTAGCTTTTGTTTGCATGATCTACCCTGTGGTGAAAGAGGTGTGTTA